ATCCCAGGACTCCAGGATCATGACCTGAGCTGAAGGCAGTCGCTTAACCAACTGAGCCACCCAGGCGCCCCAGTATGAACTCTTTTTAAATAAACCTTTCTTGGCGGAAAAAAGGCAATCAGTTCTTTTACCAATTGTTTGTATTAGACTAAGCAGCCAGTGTTCTGTGTATCTGCATTTTAAAATTTTACAGTGCCATATTTATGACCTATTTGACGAGGAATATTTTAAGTACTAGACTGCTTCAAAAATAAAATTTTGCCAGGGGTGCCTGGGTGGCTCAGTTGGTTAAGCGTCCAGCTCCTGATCTTAGCTCAGGTCTTGATCTCAGGGTCCTGAGTTCAAGCCCTGCGTCAGGTTCCACACTAGCCTGCCTTAAAAAAAAAATGTTTTTAAATAAAACTTGGCCAATACAACCATGTGATTCTTAACAGTGATTCTTTTAACACCCTGTCTTCTCACTCAGCTGCATTTGACATGTAAGTTTCTTATTTTAGAGGAGTTTCTGGGCATCTCCAGCAGGTTATGCCTTCATGAGATTTTCCCCACTGAGCAGACTAATGAACGGGTGCCCCAGTCCCTAAGTACAGATATATCAGTATGATATTGAGAGATGTTCAAAATAGTAGGCATAGGATGAAACTATTTTAAAAACCCCATTCCAAACTGTGTCTCTCGGGACGCCTGAGGGGCTCCGTCGGTTAGGCGTCTGCCTTCGGCTCAGGTCATGATCCCAGTGCCCTGGGGTCGAGCCCCGCATCGGGCTCCCTGCTCAACGGGAAGCCTGCTTCTCCCTCTCCCTCTCCCTCTGCCTGCCACTCCTGCTTGTGCTCTCTGTCAAATAATTAAGTAAAATCTTTAAAAAAAATAAATGAATAAAGTAAAATATGTAGGATTACAAAGGATACCAATTATACTGAAACAGTAATCAAAACACAGTTGACCCTTGAACAACACAGATTTGAACTGTGGGTCCACTTAATACAGATTTTTTTTTTTTGGTCAACAGTATAGTACTATAAACGTATTTTCCTTACGACTTTCTTAACTTTTTCTCTAGCTTACTTTATTGTGGGAGTACAGTATATAATACAGATAACATGAAAAATATGCTAATCAACTGTTTATGTTATCAGTAAGGCTTCCAGTCAACAGTAGGCTATTAGTATTTATTCTTGAGGAGTCAAAAGTTGTATGTAGATTTTCGACTGTGGGGAAGTTGGTACCCGACTCCCACATTGTTCAAGGGTTAACTAGGTTTTAAACTGTTTTATATACAATTCATATATTTATTTATTTGAAGATTTTATTTATTTGACAGAGAGAGAGAGCCAGAGAGCACAGCGAGGGGGAATGGCAGAGGGAGGAGCAGGCTCCCTGCATAGGGAGCCCGATGCGGGACTCGATCCCAGGACCCCAGGATCATGACCTGAGCCGAAGGCAGACGCTTAACCAACTGAGCCACCCAAGCTCCCCCAATTGATATATTTAAATTATATATATTACACATTTTCTTGAATTGTGTGTGCTGTTCTAGCACATTACTGAACCTGAAGGTACAGTCATGGGAGTCCTCAATTTATAGCCACATTGGACAGAAGTGTGGATGACAGGGGTACCCAGTACCAGCAACTGGCATCGAAAGCGAGGGCAGTTTTACAGGAGTGAGCCCTTAAACGTGGGGAGTCTGACCCTAACTCCAGGTAGTGTCAGAACTGAGTTGAACTGTAGGACACCCAGTGACTCTGCGGAGAACCGGAGGGCTGTTTGGTCTGGAAAACCTCCACAGATTTGGGGTCCGAAGGGTTGTCAGTAAAAACGGCTCGGTACATTCAGTGCAGTAAAGACAGTTTATTATAATAAGGTTTCCCTAGGTAACACATGGTTTAAAAAAATCCATTTCACCCCTTACTATGTGATCTTGGGCAGGTCATAGTTCCCACAACTAAAACAATGTAAATGCCACCGTCAACCTCAAAGGACTATGGTGAGGATTAAACAAACCTGTGTAGAGTACCCAGTACCCAGGACACAGTAGGTACTCCATAAATGCTAGTTCCCTGTCACGAGTACAGAGTGCTATACTGCACTTGAGGTTTCTGAGGGGCAACCAAACTCCTTTTCAGTCCGCCACCCAAAGACAACGTGCCAGCCTGTGTCAGAACGCAGCTGGTGGTGAGTGAAGAATGGCAAATGGACTCCAGAGTAGGGCGCCAGCGATAACAAGGCCTAGCCCCAGGGACCTGATCCCAGCCTTCTGCTGTACGTAGTAAGCTGAGGGCATACAGTAGCATGGGAATAAGCAAGTCTTAGATTTAGAATTCTAATAAACTCCTGCTTAATTAAACTCAGGAGCTTCTGTATGCATTTGCTAGTATCATCTCAGCAAAAGAAAGTGAATGGAAAAGGAAACCCTTGAGAAAAGTAACTTTACTATTCTTACCTGGACGGTGATAGACAGAAGGAATCACTTCCAGAATAAAAATAAGGATAGCCAAATAACTTTACAGAAACTTTCCTAGATATGACAGTTAAGTGTATAGAGTTTGCCTAAAAGAAAAAGGTTAAGACTATTCAAGGAAAGCAGTATTAACCTAGTGTTCAGAATACCAGAATATATGTATGGAGGAGGGGGGTAGGAAGGAGTACGGGGTAAAGGCCGAATGTCCAAAACAGTTGAAAACAAACCCT